GTACCTCAGAAATAAGTATGTGAGGGAATCCAGCAGAAGATTAAGAGAATCAGAAAGACAAAGGATCAGAGTGCAGGCAAACCTGATTCATAGAAAGAAGGGGCTAGAATATATTGAAGTTAAATATGTTAAGTTGCCACTATGAACAATGGGACAGATTATAAATGATTGCTTACAAAAGAAAATATTTATTAAAATTTAGCCCAACTTTAAAGCTATTCTTAGGTTGAAATAGAGAACCCAGAAATACACATAAGTATGGCCAACTGATTTTATTTTTTATCTTCCACCCTGTGGGTTCTTCTCTGGCTGATTGAGTAATCAAATTAATATCAGACAGAATCGGAGAAAAAAAATCTAACTAAATACCTGTGGGGAACATACCTAGATGTGGACTCCAAAGCCAGTGGGACAAAATGGGGGTATATATCTTGAGTTAAAGAATGGGATAGAAGCCTGAGGATTTACAAAGAGCAAAGGGAAACTCACAGGATGAGGAGAACGTGATTCATGATTCATATAAGGCCAGATGCTCTGCAATTAGCTGTTTGCCTTGCTGTATAGACAGATAGAAAGGTTATTTCTAGCTATAACCCTAATTCTGCACAAGACACACAGTGGTAAAATTTTCTCATGAGCCTGCAAGGCCTCAGTTGACCTCAGCTTGAAATAATTGGGAAGGCCTGTTCTGAATATCTTGGGGAAGCCTGTCCTTCAGTAGTGATGAAGCAATTACATATCCACAAGCGAAAAAACTGAACCTCAAACCAAACCTCATACCTTATTAACTAAAAACATAACTCAAAATGGGTCACAAATGTAAAAGATAAAACTAAGAAGCCTTTAGAAGAAAATATAGGACAAAATCTTTAGGACCTAGAATTGGCGAGTAGCTCTTGGATGTGATACCAAAAGGACAATCCGTAATGAAAAATTGAAATCAATTAAAAATAAATAAAATTGACTGCCTCAAAATGAAAAACAATTTACTGATAAATAAGAACATGAAAAAGACAAGCTATAGAAGAAAATATTTGTGAACCATGTATCTGATAAAAGACTTAGCTGAAAACTATAAAGATTTCTCAGAGGGTAACAGTGAAAGCAATTAGAAAAGGAGGAAAAGACAATAGACATTTAACTGACTAGAATACACATATGGCAAACACACACACACACACACACACACACATCATTAGCTGTTAAGGGACTGCAAATTAAGATCAGTAGATATATACTATCTATGCATTATAAATTATATATGTACTTTTTTTTAGCTGAACTAAAATTAAAAATACTGACAATACCAAATGCTAGTGAGGATATGGAGAAAACAGATCTGTGATGGTTGCTGGTAGGAATATAAAATGGTACAGGTTAAGTAGTGGCCAGGAAGGTATAGAGCAGGTTTTCTATGACACAAACAGATGGGTAAAAGAGAGTCCTGGAGCCCTTGGTCGATTTTTCAGGCTTTTATTGAGTTTACCAGATACACAGCAGGCAGGGGTGCCAGGGGGCCAGGAGACTGGGAGGCCTCCCAGCCCCCGGCCAATCCTTACTCTTTCTGGGCTCTCTGGCGTTATTGTTCTTCTCTCGTTCTCTCTGCTCGTTTCTTCCACCACTGCTACTCTTGCTCTCTTCTGGTGGTTCCGTCCCCTGTGATGCCACCCTTATAAGCCCAGTTTCAGCCCACGTGTACCCACCTACATATGCCCACACCCCACTCCAGGTGTTCGCCATCAGGCATGCATTTAGGAACACTGGGATCCGTCATTAATCCTAATGGCAGGAGGGCAGAAAGGCCTAATAATCACTTACCCTACAAGGTACTATGGCAAATAATTCAGCAGTTTCTAAAACAATGAAAAATGTTTCAAAAAAATCTTTCAAAAATATTCAGCAGTTTCTAAAACATGACCCAGTATTGCATTTTTTTGACATTTATCCCCTAAATGCCTCCACAAAAACTATATGCAATTAATCACAGTAATTTTACTTGTAATAGCCCCAAATGGAAAATAATCCAAATGTTCTGTAATGAGTGAATGGTTAGACAAACTGTGCAATATTGTGCATATTTACTATAACTATAGCTTTATCTCCTTTTTTATTTTTCTGGAGAATCCTCACTCATACATCTTGGAATCCTACTCGCAATAAAAAGGAATGAATGATAAACACAACAGCTTAAATGGATCTCAAGGGCATTATGCTAAGTGAAGAAGTCAAAAAGTGATATACTGCAAAATTCACTTCTATGACATTCTTGAAATGTCAAAATTATAAAAATGGAAATGGAGTAGTGATTATTAGGGTTGGGAAGGTGGGTGTTACTATAGAAGTGTGGCATTGGGAGATCTTTGTGGTGATGGGATTATTCTGTATCTTGATTGTGGTGATGGGTTTGTTGACACAGGTGATCAAATGACATAGGGCTATTCAAACACTATTATTTTTTTAAAAGCTTTTTTTTTTTTTAAGATTTATCTTCTATTTATTTATACTAGCACTGGGTACAGTCAGAAGCGCAGGAGGGTGAGAGAACTCACCAGAGCCAGAGCAGGGAGCAGAACAGGCAGACTGACTAAGTATACTGCTGAGGGGAGCAGCGGGGGCATGGCAGGAGAGATCTGAGCACCATGTAGGCCCCTCCCCAGCCTCCTGGTATCTATTGAACAGGCGCTGCTGCAGAGGCTGTGGGCAGCTTGGCAGCCCAGCGCTCAACTGCTACGCCACCGGGGAGGCCCACACTTTATTTTTTTTTAAGATTTATTTATTTTTATGCAAGAACTGGGGTACAGGCCAAAGGCACGGGAGGGTGAGAGGATTCACCAGAGAGAGCAGGGAGCAAACAGGCATAGGACAGAAATGCACTACTGAGGGGAGCAGCGGTGCGACAGGAGAGGTCTGCGCGCCATGTGGGATTCTAGCCAGCCGGTGGGGCTTGAAGAGGCTTGGAGAGGCTGCGGACAGCTTCACAGGGCAGCGCTAAACCCGCTGTGCCACCCAGGAGGCCCTATACAAACACTTTAAAGCAATGTTAGTTTCCTGGTTTTGATGTTGTACTAGAGTGTTGTAGATGTAATCCATGGGGGAAACTATGTGATGTGTACATAAGACCTCTCTACTTTTGCAACTTCTTGTACTTCTTTTGCAACTTCTTGTGAAATCCATAATTATTTCAAGACAAAAAGTTAAAAATTCCATTTGATATATTTCGCCCTTATTTCATCTTTCTGTGCATTTCATCTCTTCCTGGATATGGTTATCTCTATGACCCTGAATCTCTTCTCCCCTTAAGTATTGAGTTTTCTTTTAATTGACCACAATACAAACCCAATATGTTCCTGCTAGTCTTATTCTTTTAAAAAATCTTAAAAACAAACAAAAAACACTAACAACTAGAAACAATCTAAATGCCCCAAATCTGATGAATGTATCAGAAGATGTGGTATACATGGTGGAATACTACTCAGCAATCAAAAAGATTAACCCATGCCATTTGCAGCAACATGTGCAGAGATGGAAGAAATTATACTTAGAAAAATAAGTCAGAAGGAAACTGATAAATATCCATGGTTTCATTTATATGCCTAATATAGAGAAACCAAACAAAGGGCCAGGAAAGGATAAAACTTGCAAGCTGACCATAGATCTGAGGCACACAGGAAGGGAGGGAAGAGCACAAGGGACAAAGGTGATAGATCAAGGTGCTGTGGTGATGGGAGAACTATGGGGTTTATACCTAAGGGGTGCCCCCCAAATTAACAACTTTGTAAAAAAAAAGTGCCTTTTCTAAGCATAAACTTTAAAAATAAACCCAACAACTAACCTCCTTTTTGTTTTATAAAATGCACAACAAATCATTGTCAGTGTAGTGCCAGCAGAAAGGAACAGAGCAGGATCTCTATGATCCTATGCAAACGGGTGAAGGAGGAGTCCTGGAGCCTTTGGTGGCTTTTTGGCCTTTTATTGTCATTTTACCAGGTACACAGTAGGCAGGGGTGCCAGGGAGCCAGGAGGCTGGCAAGCCTCCCAGCCCTCAGCAAGTCTTCACTCTTTCTGGGCTCTCGGGCATTCTCTCGTGGTCTAGTTCTTTCTCTTCTGCATCTCTTTCATTCTTCTCGTTCTCCTTCTGCTCCTTCGTTCCCTTGATGCGGCCCTTAAAAGCCCAGTCTCAGCCCAGGTGTATCCACCTACCTATGCCCACATCCTACTCCAGGTGCCCGCCATCAGGCATGCATGTAGGGCTGCAAGGATCCATCATCTATCCTAAAGGCGGGAGGGCAGAAAAGCCTGACCATCATATACCCTACAGTCAGTATCACACAAAACTTGCTTTGAACACTTCTGAAAGACTTTTTTTAAATATGAACAGAGCATTATTAACATGCTTAGCATCTATGGATTAACACCACATACTGAGGAGTTACTTGGAAAACAGTGATATCAAATAATACGTTTCATTAGTTTTTCATATAAATCCACACGTCAAAAAAAAAAAAAATCCTCTGCCAGGCCATGTGTCAAGATTTTTCGTTCGGAAAATATGATCATTACAACCAAAGAACATCAAACCAAATAGTCCTTTCCTGAGGGCTTGCAAACTGAATCTGGCAACACTTTGGAAAAGTACTACTTTAGGTTCTCAAGAACCCAAAGAGCCCTCTGGCTCCTTCAGAGGGCTCAGCTCTCAATATTCTTAGTCCTTTGAAAAAATTATGAGTTGCAGGTGTTTAAAATTTTAATTATTTCTTTTTTTCTTTTCATTACATAACCCGTCGAAACAACAAACAAGAATTAAACTTTATGGGGGGTCATATTTACACTTAAATGCACTTCCGCAATTTTCTTCCACCCGTTTTCCTTCTTAACTCTTTCAGCCAGACCTTTCACTTCTTTTCTAAAGTCTAGCACTGCACAAAACAAAACAGGACACCAGACAAATACAAAACAAACTAGCTATTACGTTGCGATTACACTAGTTTGAGAACGAAGGAAATTTGTCCCTTTCGGGGATCCGTCCTGGCGTCTGCCTGCAGCAAGATGGCGGCTACATCAATGTCAGTCGCGCTGAGGCAAGCGCTGTTGGGGAGAAGGGCAACAGCTATAGCTGCCATTTCTGTTTCCAGGGTTCCGACCAGGTAATAGGATTGTCCACATTCTTCAAGCCGCTCGGGTCTCTCCATTTTTGCGGAGGTCTCTGCTGACCGAGCCCAGCAGAAGGCCTCGGGGAAAGCGTCCTCTGCTGACCCTGTCCACGGGCGAGGGCGGGCGGATTGGGGACTAGCTGCGAGCAAGGGGCGCTGGCCAGGCGAGTGGGGGGCGTGAATTTGGGGAGCGGGGAGGAGTACCTCTGGTTTCTTGGAGAACTTTTCGACTGCGGCTGGGAGAGCGGGTCTGTGGGGGCGGGGTGGGGAGATGGCCTCTGGAGGTGCGAGCCGAGTCCGGTGCCCCAGAGAAGGGAAGCGTCTTGCTGATTTTTCTCCCCACTCCCTTCCTTTTTCACCTGTGTGCCCGGGGTTCCAGTTCCTGCCTAAGGGCTGAATTGCTCTCTTCCTTCCGTGACTTTAAATGGCATTGATTAGATTTCTGAACAGAAAGATTATTTTATTCATTTGCTAGGAAAACTTGGTTGGAATTCAGCGTTAGCCAAAATATCACTGTAGTGATATCGGAAGGTAATTTTAAAGTCTGGTGGTGTTGCCGGAGGTTTCCCAGTCACAATTTTATTAAAGCCTCGCAGTAATTCAGAGATTATTATTATTGTTTTGCCTTGAAGCATTTTTGTTTTTGTAATGGTGATTTATTTTCGATTGCATTATTTAATCCTTCATTTCCATTTTTTTTTTCGAATTTTCTTGACTTTATTACAGTACTAACACAGCAGTATACACGCTAGCATCTTTTTCTACGAAGAATTATTATGTGTTATCACTATTTCATTGCTTGTTGATATAAATGTAGACCAGGCTTGGGTACTTACTGCTACAGTGTAGACTACACTGCTTAGAACAAGAATGGAAAGATTCCGTGGACTGATATGAAGGGATTGGGAAGAAAAGGGGTGATTAAAAATTGAAAAGAGGGTCTAATTAAACGCTAATTAATTTAGTGTAGTAAATAAAAGGAAATGCAGAGAGTTAGACCTAGACTTAATTAGAAATAAATTTTGTAAGTCATTTATGTTCAGCTTTTATATAGTGGATGTTGGATGGGAAAGAAGAGGATGACCTGGCAGGGGTCAGTGGTTCAGGAAAGTATTTGGAGGCAACAGTGGAACGATACATACATGATACAGAGTGACTGAAAAATAAGTCACTTGTTTTTCTAAGATTGAGGAAAGGTATATGATCAATTTATAGCTATATGTTCTACATGTGGGGAACTTGAAGAATGAAAAATATTTCTGTAGGGTGAAATAGGCCACTGGTTGACATAGGGCTAGAATAGTGGTTTTTCTTGTTCTGATGGACACAATAGAGATTAATTTCACATTCCCATATAATAATGTATTCACAGCAGCCCTAGAATTGAAAACAAATTTGAAGGATCCACTGGTTCATTGCTAATCAGAACATGACTGTATGTATAGCTATGCTTAAGTCACAGTCATTTTTTAAATAGAGTAGCTGAAGATAACAGATTTTGGAAACATTGATAATTGGTACTATTTAACCAAATTTAAAGAGCTTTTGCTTGTAAATATGTGGGGAGAGATTTGAAAATGAAATAAAATTTTAAATCATATAAATGATTGTTACACTTAAAAGCCAAGGAAAACAAATTTTAAACACAAATTAGGTGATACATTTACTTGCTTTTTAAACCACGTTTTTACCCAAAGACCTTGATTATCTCACCTGTTGGAAATTTATGACCCTTCTCCTTTATATATTATATGCGCTTCATTCTTAACTCTCTTTTAAGATTTGAGTGTAATGAGGCCTTTAAAAGATTGAGTGGAAAGAGAAACAGTAAATAGGGAAATCCTCATCTAAAATGTAACTTATTGTAATGCTTAGAAAAACATTTGCAAATCATGAAACATTGAAAATCACTTAAGTAAAATGAGGGAGCTAGAATCAGTCCCTTGGTAAGGGGGTAAGTAGCAAACAAATAAAAACATTGAAGAAAAGAAACTCAATAAAAGCAAAGAAGTAGTTAACTGCTACCTTTTCTTATATGAATTCAGCTATGATAGTAAAAAACAAAAACAAAAACTCAACATATATACATGAGAAAGAAAAATTTAAGTAGTACAGGTGTTTCAGATGCTGCAGTTACTGAGCTTGTGCTCTAGTGTGAGTCTCAGTTTCCACCTGCTTCTCATTTCCCTGAAATGAATGAGGGGAAACTATCCCAGAGAAATGGTATACATTTATCCTTACTTTGCCTGACTTTTCTAAGGCATTGTCCAGGGTAAGCTTAACTACTTTCAATATTAACCTGACAATCAAATAAAATGGTGTTCTGTTTCCAAAAAGCAATACTTAGGACATTTGAAGCAGTGGTTTTTGTTATTTTCTGTAATACTTATTTCACCTAGTCTTGTTTCTTCATTTCTCTGGGGTCTTAAATCTTGTGTTGAGCTCAAATACTGTTCATTAGGGTGGTAGATCTACAGCTGCTGTTAACTAACGGCTGTGGAGGGCACAAAGGTATGGGACCTTTTTGTGAGGCCTGTTTTATGCCTTAATCTCTGTACTCTGTTGCTTTATTTTCTTTTTCAGCATCAGATAAGCCAGTATGAAATTATGAGTCTGCAGGAACCTCCACTGAGCAAGAGGGCCAAAGGGGGTGGGGTGTGTGTGTGTGTGTGTATGTATGTATGTATGTATGTATGTATGTATTTTCTGGGAAAGTTTCTCAGCCCAAATCTGAAAAACATTTAGAGCATTTAAATGTAGGTTAGCTTCTACTTCATATGAAGTGGATAAACAAATTCCTCTTTCAATAGCAGCTACTTTTGCTGGCTTTGGAAGATGTCAAAGCCAAATTTGTGAGCTTGAAATGTTTCTAAAGTATCTTCTAGTAGATTTCATTGGTTTGCATGTTTTCCTTATTAAAAAATACCCATAATTAGTCTGTTTTCACCAGTAGTAGAGATCTTTGTTGAATTCTTCTTAGAATTAGATATTTTTAATGCTAATAAATATTAGAGTAGTGCCTGGCACATAAATAAACCTTACCTAAGTAAATCTAATATTATCATTGGCTTGAATAACCCACATGTTTTTCTTCTCTTTTGTCTTGGTAATAGATAGTGTGGTAGATCATATTATTGTTTAAAATATTTTCTTCTATTTCTTGTGACAGGATTATATGTCACTGCTCCACTGACTAAGTGATTTGCTTCGGCCAATGAAATGTTACCAGGATAATATGCTATGTGAAGCAGAACATTTAAGAGCTGTCTAGTATTTTACCATGTTCCCTTTTCTTTTGCTTTGAGATGGATATATGTCTGAAGGATTCTTTTCTTTTAGCTGAGATCCTGGAATGAAGCGAAGCAAAGCAAAGCAGAAGCTGATTTTTATGCTTCTGTAAAATATAAACTAAGTAAGGGCACAAAGATACTTGGATTATTGGTTATGTCAGCATAACAACCAGTACTGACTGTTGACATACACACACTTCCCAATGAGCAGCTTTTAGCTCTTGGACTAACATATTAATAGTGAGGTTATAGGCTTTGGAGACCTGGAAAAATCATTTTTGTATACTTAAGCACCTAATGTAAATGTATCACAAATGAATAAGTATATATTTAGAGAGATGTGATTATGAGGAAAAGCAGGAAAACAAGTGGTATTTCGATTAATCAGTGACAGCCTATTAGGCACTAAACTACATAAATGTGAATATAAAATAACTACAACACATTCTTTTCTAATTATTTGCAGTGGTCTGAGTTTAGAATATTCTACAACTCTTAACTTTCACATTGAAGTTGTTTCATAGCTATTTTTGTACTTACACATTTCTTTGACAACTGTCCTGACTTCTGTTTATATTAAGAAAAAAAGAGATGGAAATTATTTGGGAAGGGTACCTTGGGAAATAAAAGCTTTTTTGTAATGATAGACGCTAAATACGAGTATTAGATTGCTCTCTGCAAGCTGCTTTACAGAAAGTTAACATGGACTTAATGGAGAAGGATGGAAAAACTTGGTTCCTGGGTAAATGCATATTGTGAGGAGATCGGTCGCGTTCAGGGTGGTATGGCCGTAGACTGGGTAAATGCATATTGGAAGAAGTCTCTAGGTGTAGGATGAATAGAGAATAAGGTGATTTCAAATGCAATAGCTACTAAAATAGATCCTTTAGTGAAAGTTAATCATTTTCTTGGTATTCTCGGTCATAAATTAATGTACTCATTAATTTTCATTAAGTGTATATTAATTACCATGCCAAAGACTTTGTCTACATTATCTCAGGTATTTCTCACAGTACTCCTATTAACTCTGGTGTTCTTATTATCTTCATTTTTTAGATGAGGAGATGGATTTTAAGTTACTAATACTAGGAAATAGCCTGATTTAACAGTCTACAGCATATGTAGATTTTTACAGTGAGAATTTTGTCTGATAATAGTTCAGACCTCACTGCCTTCTGTTATCTCTTTTATCAAGGACTGTCCTTTATTTGAGAGACTATCTAAAGCTCTTCACTTCACTCTAATGTTACTTTTGTATAGTTGGTCTCCAAATGAGGAATTAGATGTTTTGTTTTGTTTTTTTTAAAGATTTATTTATACAAGCACTGGGGTATAGGCCAGAGGCACGGGAGAGTGAAAGAATTCACCAGAGACAGAGCAGGGAACAAAACAGGCAAAAGGACCAAAATACACTGCTGAGGGGAGCAGTGGGCGAGACAGGAGAGGTCTTCTGGGCCATGTGGGACTCTCCCTGGCTGGCCTGGAATCGAACCTGTGCTTCAGAGGCTGCTGACAGCTTCACAGGGCTGCGCTTGGCTCGCTGTGCTCAACCCACTGCGCCACCAAGGAGGCCTAGGGGGTTTTTTAGTTGAAATTTTTACCCTCAAATTTTATTATTACTTTTGGTGAGAAACTTTAGGTAACTAGGTTATTATACTTTCTTACCCTCTTAAACAAAATATGTTTCATGTATATATTAAACAA